TATACTAATTAAAGTAAAGTTAAAGCCATAATTGTAATTTAATGTAAAATAAGTTGTTAAAAAATTGGTCGCAGGTCATCCGTTGAAACAACTCTACATGTATCACCATTAATATTTTTGTTCTGAAGGAAAGTCTCTAAAATAAAAGCTTGCATGTAGCGTCAAGTACACAGATAAATGTTTCATAGGACTCTTGGATCAGCATGAGAGTATACATGCTGCCAGAGGGGGGTGAACTCCCACATTAAAAGGTGTTTGTACCTTTTAGGGATTAAAAAAGCAGTTTTGGTACTTCTTAGGGTGTTCAGCCTCAAAAGGTCCCCAGCAGGAGCTTTTGCCGTACCTTTTAGGTTATTGATAAAGATTTATGACAATGCTGCCATAAACTTTACAAGTGGAAAGTATTTGAGCAATCATCTTTATCGCTATTAAAAATATTTTATATAAAATTTACTTTATAACATTGCATTATTGGCCAAATGTGCCAGTTGGTCTAGCTGGAACAGACTGTGACTTGAGCACAAATGTGCCAGAGCTTGTACAAGAACCTACGACTTCACAACAAGCAAAGAGCTTTGTTAAGGTAGCTGGGATTGTATGCTATTTTGAAACATCAATAGTCAGACAAGGAACATGAAATCAGTTTTTGACAGTTATTAGTTAATAGCAGATGCTGTTGTTCAGTCGTGTGAATGAACTTCGAATGGCACTAGTTAAGAGACGTTTTTTATTTTCACAGTATTGCTCTTGAGGCCATGTATACACAGACACAAAAAAAGCCTAACAGCAGCTCTTGTTATCGAGAGGAAATGTGCCACTTGTCAAGAAAACAGTACCGTAAATCCTCGAATTAGTGCCCTGTGAGCTTATTTCAAATTTAGAAGAAGATGGGGGCGCTTATTTGAAGGGGGCATTTAATCAGGGGGGGCTTATATAATTTTTCCCAAATCGTGGCCTGATATGATCATTAGTTTAGCACATTATTTAAATGTAAACAACAACATAAGCTGTTTATCAATGTAAAAAGCCGATCCTAAACTTTATATTGCGGCACTGTTAGAACTTGTAATTTTTTTCCAAACTTGACACATTCCCAAACTGAAACAATGCACAAATGTGATACTGCATGACGAATTGTTGTCTCATTACTCGTCCACAAAATGGGGGGTGGGGGAAGAGGAGGGGGCACTCATTTTAAATGTTGGCCGATAAGTGGGGCACTTATTCGAAGGGGGCGCTTATTCAAGGATTTACGGTAATCACATTGTATATTGCTGTACATGAAGGTACTGCAACTCAACACTAAACAGACACATTGGGGCTCCCAAGGCTTGTTTAGTCATGTGTTTATGTT